GCACAAGAATAAGCAAGCAGAACAAACCCGTCACCTTCCTTTTGGTGCTTGCTTTACGTTGTGTTTATTGACCACGAGCTTTATGTATCCTACCATATTTTTACCTTCTTCATGCAATTCTGTATGCCTCCGCAGCGAATCGCATCTCACTATAACGGTGGTGAAAGTTTAGCCTGCTGCATGCGTAGGTTTGGTACCTACCTCTCCTCCCCCTCTCTGCGTTTTTCTCCTTGATTATCCTGAGAAACGTGAGCGCTGTCCTTTCGTCACATCACCACGGGTCAATGCTACCGTTCTAAGAAGCGAAGTTAAGAAACAACTTTACGCATGGCTGGCTTTGCTATGGGTTTTGTTGCTGCGATCGGGAAAGTATGGAACGCATGGGAATTTCTCTGTTCTCACATGGTATCCGTCTATACAGTCTTTGTTCCGCTCAGGCACCGTAACCTTACTTCTGAAAATGAAAACCTATTAGATGTGCGGAATAGAGTCCATTTACGCTAGCTCCCATTCTTGCCCATTGGCGGTATTGTGTATATGACACAACTTTCTTGGAAAATATTCCAGTCGCAGTCAATATGATTCCAAAAGGATGTTTTTTTTGTTTTGTTCACTATATTGCTCTTCATACACTTCTATTTAGAGTACGTTCCCAAAGAAGTGCAGAGGATATTCCAAGACGTGAGTATTTCGACCTTCGTAATAACCTCTCCGTTTCATTTTCAACAGTATTGCTACAGTTTTAATACTGAAAATGCCCATCGCTGATTCAAGAAGACAGTTTTACTACAAGATCTGGTTCGTTCTACAGGGGAATTTAGATACCAACGAAGACGACTATAGGCGGTTTTTAGGGTCAAGATTGATAGCATTGTAATCGCGGTTGTTGCGGTTTTGTCAAGGTTGCGATTATGTCGCCATCAAGCAGACCTGACAGTCGCATAACATTTAAAAGAAACTAGCAGCCCACATGGGTTCTTCGGCTGAGTGTGATCGCGTATGGAAGACAAAAGGATAAAGGATAAAGTCTCCGCCGCTTGATCAATCCTTTTTGGGATGCGGCACGCATTCTACTTCCATTCAGAATCGTAGTGGTTCATTGAATGCGATGTGACCTGTACAATGACTTGCGGGGACCGATCGATGAACAAGACGATGAACAACATTCGTTTCCTCCCAGACAGATATACTATCTCGGACCATAAGAAAGCTTTCTGGATGTGATCGGAGCCGCATCCGGAGACTTGTCGCTGACGTTGCGCATAGTGAGCGTACAAATACACTACATTATCCTATGCAGAGGGTCGAGGAATGCCTTCACAGCATAGTAGTGTTTCCCTCCTCAATTAAAGAGAATCAGAGGGACTTTATAATAAATAATAGGCACAAACCGATCTTTGGCAATTCACGCTTAATTCCTTTTCTGCCATGTGGGAAATCCGGTTTATTCTACTTCATCTAATACGAGTCCTGGTTGTGACACTAATTTGATACCGTACGTATTTGGGTCCCAAGGGGGGGGGGGGCAGAGGGGGGGGGGGTTGGACGGAGAAATGTAGTTGAGAGCAGTTCACAATAGGCTTATATGGGTGCCGACAGGGTAGGGGCGCAAGAAAAGGAGCGTCACCAGGTTTATAACGCAGGAACAGTAACGGAGCGTTGGGTGATCTCCAAATCTGATGAACCTGGGAACAATAAATAGACATATTGGCTCACAGGCAACATTAAGCTTGGCAGAAACAATTAAGCCGTTTAAAACCCATGTGGGGCACAGTAGCTTTTCTTCTGTCGGCGATGTTACTCGTTCTTCTCATATCCACATAAGTAAAAGTGTGGAGAGCATTTATATAAAGAAATGGGGATTTTTAAACGGGACCTAAAAAACGTGCGAATTACGGACACTTAACGTCACGAACACAAGTGTGCGAATTCATAATGTTCATAATGTCCAGTTCTGAGCTCCATTCAGTCAGCGAGGTGCATCAAAAGTGGTGGGGAATCCCCGCACCCGGAGGCTCCCCACCAATGGTGATGAGTTCGGGAAGAACACAGCCAATAGTAGGAAAGGTCTCAGATGGGCTCATTTCATGTCTCTTGACGTCGCCTTGACTGATTGTGACGATATCATCTGTAGTGACTCCTTGAACTGCGTGCACCGGCGAAAAGATCCAGTTAGCTGGGCACTGGGTAACCCACACCCGAACCTCACATGATTCTCGTACAAAGTACTCACATTACAAGACCCACCGAAGAGCAGAAGAAAAAAAGGGCAACGAACCGGCATCAACTCTCAAAAGACAGCATTTTCGTTACTGCTACTCAAAGCTCGTTGTGGACTATTCATCGTCCAAAGAGCTTGATTTCTAATGAAGCATATATTCATTTACAGTTATAACATAGAATAAACTTTTGTAT